GGAATCCCCGGACCTGACGTCACCACCTAAGTTTCCAAATCCCGGACGAGCCCCCAATTTGTTATGGTCTGGCTCTTGAACCACAACAAAACGTAACGAAAACTCAGGCACGGTGCTAAATAAAGAAACCACCTTTATAAGGAAAAGGTCGGGACAGTTCAAAGTGCACAACAGGAGAGCATTCTCGCAGCATCCCAGACGGTGTAACTGCTCCCTCAAAACACTCCGTGTAGCACACCAGGTGTCGGGGGGGAAAAGAAGCCAGCCCATCCTCCGGATGGGGCGGGTCTTGTAGGGCGAAGGCGTTGGCCAGCTGCCTCCAATCTTCCTGATGGCCCTGGGCCGTCACATATAGTATATAAAATTAGTATACAGCAATGCAACGGCTGGTTCCGAAAATCAAAATTTTGATTTTTATGACCATTTATGCTGGGCTGCTTCACTCAATCGAAGTAAAATATGTTGTGGGGACATGTAAAACGTGTTGTTCTATGTCTGTGGTGTATTTTTAGGCTTGCAGCTGCATTATTTTTTTTTTAAAATGTTCAATACAAGTGCTTTTTTTCAGGCGAACCTAGAAATTTTTCAATTTGAGCAGTGCCATAAGTGTATCGGTTATTAACCAGTAACATATACACAATATTTACACAATTCAACACATCTCACAAGTGTTACCAGTATTCTAGCATCAAAATTATTAAAATAGACCTTGTAGTTAGAGCTGAGGACTCTCTTGAGTATGGGTATGCAATTTTCGAGCAGAGGCTCGCTCCCGATCTGTGCCGTTTGAATGCGTTTACCGTGAATTTCAGCATATAGGTGCACTAAAATGTAAGTGTCTGCTGAGTTGACCGCAGTCTCACAGTCACAGGTCTGATTAAGTAGCGCTCCATTTATTTATTTGTTTAGAAAGCTCGGTTCTTCACGCACAAGCAACATCAGTCAAGGTGAAAATCAAAACCATTCTATGGCAACTGGACCGGGTCATATAGGCTACGATGTAGTTCTTCGTAATTTCATTACGTTCTATGAAGTTCATTAAATTATCATTATTATTAGAGGAAATTATGGGGGCATTTTTTGCCCCTCTCCTAGTGATATCAGGGGCAAAATTATATTTCTTAGGGGCAGTTTTGCCCTTTGCCCTCGTGCATTTCCGACGCTGATTCCACCGCACACTGAAGAGCACAAGCCATTCAAATATTATTCACATCAGAGGGAACAATATTAATCATATAAAAACGACACCATAGACAAATGAACACAGTAGTAACGCTGCTGCAGATGTAAAAAAACAAAAGCACTTCACTTACCAAAGCTGCTGTTCACTTAAAGACAAAGTCCATCCTCCTTTCTTTGTTAACAAAGAGTTTAATGACGCGGTTGTACAGAACATCAGTGCGGTTCAGTTCCAGCCAGAGGTCCTCCTGCGAATACGTTCGCTGAGTTGTAGATCCACTCGGGTCTCAGCAAAAGTTTTCAAAAGCACCGTAGCTTGTAAGTGCCCTGTTGTGCTATGGTGTCGTGTTGCTGCCTTGGTTAGCTCCAAACACCAAGAGCTCAGTCGCAAATAACGCATTCTTAGCCATAAAATGTGCAACGCTTCTCTGACGCTGTCAGCCAGAAATACCGTTTGTAGAAAAATCCTTTTCCTGGCTGGGTTAGGGCTGCTAGCTGTGGGGTTAGCCGACCCTTTGATACGATGTCCATTTTTTTGAGAAATCAGTTTCTCCTCCTTCAGCCATTGAGTGTTAAAAAAACAAAGCTAGGTAAAAAAAAAAAAGAAATCTACACCAAGCAAAACACAAAAAACATGTCAATGTCATAACTTCTTACATATCTTTCAACTTGAACTCTTACTACTAATACTAACTTCTGCTAGCTGCTTCAGCGTCAAAACAGTCACGCTAGCCCACTGACCAATCACAGCGCACGTTATTGCTGAGCCAGCCGCACGTTAATGCTGACGTACTTGTAGGCTACCTCGGTAATTCTAGCACGTCAACGAATATGCCCAACATGTCAAACTAAAGATCTGATCGGTTGAAGACTATGACAATCAACAATATCGTCCCCATACTTTAATCTGCAAAGTCTACCTAGAGGGCCATGGGCCTCTCTTTTTACCTAGAGACAGAGAGGTGAAATCTGATTGGATAAAAGCTCTACTTAAAACAAGCTGCACTGGAAGCACTGCAGGCTGGGAACAGAGCAACAGAGGAAGACAGTAGCTGTGCAATGAGAAAATAAGCTAATGGGAAAAATAATTTGAATACATGTAGTTTATTTGGTAAAAATTATTAAATTATAAAATAGCTATAATTTTGGGATTCTGTTTAGGCCAGCAGAGAAGGCTTTGCTGGCCCTGATGGCCCACCACCGGTATGTATATATGTACGTATACAGTATATTAGTGCTGGGCGGTAAACCGGTTCAACCGGTATACCGGTTTTAATTTCCCATATGATATGAACTTTTCATATACCGTCATTCTGTCGCTCTTCAACAGGCAGCAAAATATATTGTTCGCCGCTAAAAGCGCTATGTTTGGAGATAGTTGTCTTAACTGTATTGAGAGGGAACCCTAGTCATGGTTATAACTTTATAACAACAATTAACAACCCCCAACTAACGCTCTTTAACAGGGCAAAACACCACAAGACAACAGTTTGTGACACAGAAACAATTTGTAACACTAATAATTGTACATTTATAAAATTTCACCGCCGAACTGCATGCTGGGTACAGCTCGCTAACAACAGTCTGCTAACAGCTGGGAGAGGCTCTGTCGCTCCAGTAACGTTTCTTTAAAGAACAGAAAAGAGCGATGCAGGATGAACAAAGACTGAACAACAAAAGGTATTTTGGTTAGACACATATGCAACGCTGATATGTGTGGTATTTGTTATAAATGTACGTTGGTACATAAAGGGTGATAAGAAGCTGTACTTGGAGGGGCTTAGGACCCAGGGGAATGTAGGTGAAGGAAACAGGAAGTGACGGAACGGAAGACACGCCACACAAACAGCTGTTCACCACTCGCTGGCCGGTTGGCCGGCCGGTTCTTTTCGGCGTTAATTAATTAATGCTTTATATACCGTGAAACCGCCAGAATCTTACAAAATAACGTGATATGCATTTTTGGTCATACCGCCCAGCCCTACAGTATATATATATGTCTGTATGTATGTATGTATGTATATATATGTGTGTGTATATATCTGCCTATGTATATTAGTGGTGTCACGGATCGATCCGTGATCCGTTCGGATCACCCCTCACGGTTCGGATCACCCCTCACGGTTCGGATCACTCGTGAACTGCGGATCAATTGAGTATTTTTTTTCTTTTTTTTTACAGTTTAATCATCATAGTGTATAATAAAGTTTTACTGCTGCTGTTCCTTTTGAAGTAACAAGTCCCCGAATATCAATGCAGAGTGTCAGTGAACAGATATAAAGTAGTAGTGTGTTCACGTGAACGGAGCAGGTTAAAAGCATTTAACGGCGAAAGCCATGGCGAGCGGAGTAACTTCAGAAGCTCCCGGCGTCATTTAAGTCGCAAGTTTGGGAGCATTTTGTCTTCCCTGTAACTTATAATGACGGATAAGGGCGGTGGACGAAACCGTTACGGTATGTAGGCGTTGATTAAAGAGAAAGACATACGATAACGGCAATACATCGGCATGTTCACACATATGAAGAGCCACCATCCCGTCTGTCAGCGACGGGGGACACTCCGTTGTGGAAAACAAAGGATTTGAAAATCTGGTTAAAATGCTTGAGCCACGCTACGAAATCGACTCACGCACCCACTTAAGTGTGAAGCTTGTTCCAGGCCTTTCTGAAAAGGAAAAGACTGTGACCGATTTCACCACGACGGAGCGGAGATTCATAGTCCGGCGCTGCAGACACGCCCCCTCTGTGAGAGTCACACAGACATACACCTGGGGCAGGTACTGACAGAAGTATCAGAGTGGAAGCTAGACACGCCCAATAGTAATATCCCAGTCACCACAGAAAGGTCTACCCTCTCCCCAGCCAATGTAGATATTCTCATCTTTTTGAAAATAATGTCACAGTATTGGTGACATAACCTGACAGGAAGTAAACATAGACCCAAGTTGTTGCCGAGCAGTTCAGTTCAGTTGAAACAGTGTAAGCTAGCTCACTGGCTGTTTCTTTCTTTCAATATTGATCAAAAGACGAGGCTATCAACATACCTCATGTTGCACTTACACTTAAGAGAATTGAATATTCTTGAATGTTTTATTTTTATTTATTTATTTAATTTTGTTTCAAATTGGACATCTTCAATATTTTTGTTTTTATGTAAGACTATAGCCCAAAGTTATTTTCTTTAAGTGTTCTTGAAGTTCTTTAATTAATAAATGGAAAGCAAAGTTATATTTGTCTCCTCCCCTTTTCTTTGTTGATCCGAAAAATGATCCGAACCGTGACTCAAGAACCGTGAACCAAACCGTGAGGTTTGTGATGCGTTGCACCCCTAATGTATATGTGTATATATATATATATGTGTATGTATATGTATATGACTGGAACATCTACTAACAGTTTCTGTTCACTCTTCTTTTGAAGTCCTTTTTGAAGATGCCCATCCAAGGTTATGTCTTATTGACTGGTTATGTGTCACTGCATGCAGTGTGTACTGTGTGTGTAAGACAGTGTGTGCATGCAGCTTCCTTCTTTCCATGGCTTGCTCTGCAGCTGCTCCTGTCTTGTTGGCATTACCACACCATAATACCAGTCCTTCTGGGACTGAGGCCCCACAGCCAGAGGGAGGCACCTAACCAAGTGTCTGAAATAAAGACTTATGTGTTCTACAATCATCAAAAATAGCATTGTGTCTGTGACCTGTGTCTTATTTTTCAATTATTTAATCTTGAAACTGGATCATAAACAGTCACTTGATACCTCTCTGCTCATGTCTGTTATTCCCTGCTGGTGAAATCTGCATTGGTGTTGCTCCTTCTCTTTCAGGTCTGCAACATGTTCCACCACCAGAGTCTGGGAGTCAGGATCAACATTCGTGTCACCAAGCTGGTGATACTTCACAGCCGCCCAGTAAGCCTGACCCTTTACCCTTTTTGATCCCTCTTTAACTCTCTTTAGACCCTAAGAACATCACTGTTAACTCTCTTTAGACCTTAAGAACATAACTGTTAACTCTCTTT